GGGCTTAGACATCAAAAGCTTAATAATTTTATTTAGAATTCTCTATTTTAGTTTACAATGCTATTATACTTTGGGCTTAGACATCAAAAGCTTAAAGTTTTATTCATTGGTGTTAAAGAGTTCATTTAATGATAAGTGAGCTAGAGGACTACATATGATATAGTTCCTAGAAAGAGTTTTTCTAGCTAATACATAAAAAATTTTTAAAAAGTCTAATAAAAAAGTTAGAAAGTCCATGTACAACAGTAGCTGAATTTCAGGCCGGTCACTGCTCTTAAACCAGGGCCTAAAACTACTACATCTAAACTAATCTGGTGTCTATCTCCAGGTTAAACCATAAAAAGGTTTAAGTTTTGGACAAATAACAAAACCACATGATAAAAGTGTTATTTTACCTAATTGTAAAAAAAAAAAAAAAAGTTATAAAGTCTTTAAAGAAAACTAAGACTAGTAACTTAAAAAAAAAAAAAATGATAAAGCCATTAAATTAGTGAGAAAAGCACCTTCCATTCTTCAACTTTTGCATTGACAGCTATCATGACCGGATCATCTTCTTCGTTTTTTGCTTTTAAAAGTTCTGTAAGCTCCTGCACCTAAAAGGCAATAGTTGGTTTAAGAATTATTGCAAATTGGTGTAACACATACATATTCGTTACATATATATTCTCATATACATTAGATATTCATATTTATTGTTAGAGTAGCTTTATAGTGAGGATCCTTGGTGGTGCAGTGGTTAAATACATGACTACCAACCAAAAGGTCAGTGGTTTGAATCCACCAGCTGCTCTGTGGAAGCAAGATGCAGTAGTCTGCTTCCATAAAGATATACAGCCTTGCAAATCCTGTGAGGCAGTTCAACTCTGTCGTATAGGGTCACTATGAGTCACAATCAACTTGATGGCAATGGTTTGGATTTGAAGTGAGAAGTGACATTTAATGGCTTCTGCAGAGTAGAGCTGAATAATCATTTTCCATTCCTAGAAATTATATTTTTAAATATTTTTCTACTTTTAAGTAAGTTTAATTCCATGTAAATAACAAGCAATTTATTGGTTTCTACATTTACAGTTACTTTATTTTAAGGTATAAATTAAACTTTATAGTCCAAACAATTTCCAAGTAATAGAAAATATCCATAATTACTAGTTTATAGGACTGTTGTGTATGCATTAATTCAAGTATCATCTATATAATCTAGATGGCAGCAGTTACAAGGTATGTGTAAGGAGATTACAGAAACACATTAAGTATGGCAACACACCATAGTATCAAGACACAAAAATTTGTATCGGAATAAGTTACTTTCTAGTTTTAAATAAACAGTAATGAGATGATATGAAGTCTGTGAAAATAAACTATTCTAATAGTAACTCTTACTTGAAGCCGATAATGTTCATTTTCTTTTTTTAACTGATCCGTTACATTATCTGTTTGATGCACAATGGCTTTCATTCTGTTATATTCATCAGTCATCTTCTCCATTTCCTGTACAGACTCTTCTAGATTTTTTCTCATTTCTTGATTCTGAACTTCAATTTTCTCATTAGCTTCTGTTAAAGTCTAAAAAAGTTAAAGACACTATGGTTAAAAGAAACTGCTTTATGAATCTGAAAGTTAAGCTAAATGAAAATTAAATGGAGTTGTAAGTGCCCACTATATCAAAGAGAATTCCTTGTACACCTGTAGTATCAATTAGTATTGAATAATTAAACTAAATAGCAAGAAAATTTCACCCAAGAATCTCACTTCTTTTTAAACAAAGTCCAACAAGTACATATAAAGAGAATGAATAAAGAACTACAACTTCAAAGATGCAACTGATTTTATATTTTTTAAATACACAGTTGAAGATTTATACCAAAGAACTTAAATAAAGGGTTAAACGCCAAATTTATGTTATAATTAAAGTTTAAAAGAATCACTGCTTTGAACTGACTTTTACAAATTTTACCTGAATTTCATCCAGATATTGTACCAGTTCATAATTTTTCTTAGACAACTGTGAGCGGTAGTCACTGTCTTCTCCTCTTCTCGATAAAAGTGTTTCTTTCTGTGAATCTATTTGTTTCTGATAATCAGTAATATCCTGACGAAGCTGCTCATTCTGTAGGCAGACCAACATCAGTTTCTCTTAAGAAATTATGCAAAGTAACAAAATTTCCTCCTCTAAACAGTGATCTTAGAAGATATCTTTAAATTCCCAAAGTTTCATCACCCTTAAAGCCTCACCTTTTTCTTCAGACGTTTGTTCTCCAAAAAAAAGGACAGGAAGAAGGTAATTAGAAATGAGAATGGCAATACATAATTTAAAATAGTAATATAAACTAAAGAAAGGAAAAAAGAGAAATTTTAAAAGAATGAGATACACTATTTTGGATAATCAAAGAAAACAAAAACATCATTATCAATCAAACCAAAAAACATTTTGATTGAGTTAAAAACATATGGACTATCAGAACGAACAATGGACAGACATTATTTGGCTCACAAAAACCAAATAATGTTTATAAGATTTCATAAGAAACAGAAATTTTAAAAGAACTCTGGATAAAATAAGAGAAATAAAGAACAGAAATCCAGGTATATATTCAATTAGTAAACTAACTAGAAAAGAATGGCTAACATATGAAACAGAAAGCAATTCACCTACATAGACTAAGAAATGAATGTTGTCCTTACTGGCCTTACCTTTCCTGTACCTCTGAGATAAAGTAGTATCATAAAAGCAGCCCATTAAAAACATCAGTCACTTAGAAAAATCCAGTTCTAGTTAAAATATAAATTTATGAAAACACTTTTAACAACTATTTGTGTTGAACTACCATAGCAACTAATTTTTTTTTTACCAACCTCTCTTCTTAATTTGCTGTTTTCGTTTTCTGCCTCCTCATTTCGAAGCGCAAACTAGAATTGTAAAAAATAAGATGAGCTATAGCAGCAATTTAATATAAACCCAGACTTTTAGCTTATCAATTTGAATTTTAAATTCTCTCTAATAAAGCATAGAACGTTTAACTAAGAACTTCCCTCCTATCTAAGGCATGAATAATAAGTCAAAACTTTTTGAAAACTAATTAAGAATTAAAAAGGATTAAAAAAGATGTGTTTAAAAAGATTTTCTAGAAAAATTCTAAATAAAGAATACAGAAACAAAAACATAATAAATTATTTTTTAAAAAATACAAAAACGTGAGTAGTTTTTCTGGCTAATGCCCTTATTTCACTATTCTTCTATGTCAATTCTAGAATATTCTTTGATTCAACTAAGCATTAAATTACTTAGAAAAATAAGGCAGTATCCTACAATGGTTAAAAAGAAGTAATCCCAAATCAGACTGCCTTAGGTTTATATCTCTTGTTCACCAATTTCTAGCACAGCATAAATAATTTATCTTCTCTAAAACTCAGTTTTCTCATCTCACATGTTAACATAAACTTATGTGTGTGTGTGTGTATAAACACACATACTCATACACACACGCACACATATATTAACTCAAATGAAACCCACTGTCATCGGGTCAGTCCTGACTCACAGCAACAGGGCAAAATTACCACACAGGGTTTCCAAAGCTCTAAATCTTTATGGAAGTAGGTTGCCACAACATTCTCCTGTGGAGCGGCTGTTGGATTAGAATTGCACACACACACACACATAACCAGAGAAAGAGAGAGAGAGAACAGGTAACCCCTTCTTTTCAAAAGTTCACTTTACATCACTTCACTTTTCCAAAAGACCTACGATAGTACCTGTTTTTGCAAACCAAAAGAAATCCAGAACAGAATTTTCACTTTTATGAAAAAAAGGTGAAAGTGAAATTAGCAGTCAGTGTCCGTTTTGCAATGGGCTCTTAAAGAGGCAGCACAACCCCCAAGCAATGAGTGGTTCCCACGCTCCTTCCCGGAAAACTACACTGTTGTTGTTGTTAGGTGCCATGAGTCGTTTCCGACTCATAGTGACCCCACGCACAGCAGAACGAAAACACTGTCAGATCCCGCGCCAGGTCCACAATCCCTGCTATACTTGAGCCCATCATCGCAGCCACCGTGTCAATCCATCTCGTTGAAGACCTCCCCTTCTTTCGTCAACCCTCCACCCTACCAAGCATGACATCCTTCTCCAAGGAATGGTCCCTTCTGACAA